GATAATTGAGCTACGGTTGAAGTTGCGGATGATGGCGTTGCTTGGCGCACCGTTCAGCTCCCCACGAGCGCGACAATGAAATTCCTACGTTAGCGTCGGTGTCCACATGTCAGTACCATTTGCGGCACATTGCCGAGGTCTTATCGTAGTGCCACTTCCCAACCTCCTACAAGACGCACCTCTGCTTCCCACCTACCCTCCCAGGACACCGCATGCAAACCTCGTCACGAACGCTGTGTACGTCATCGGCGTTGCCCGGATTTTCTCACGCATCTGAGTATCGACACGACCCCCCATTCCTGCGACGGGTGACTTGTCAGCCTGACGCGGCTGGTCTGCCGTCATCGATCACCGGCGTCTATCAGCCACTTTATCGTAATTTGGGCATACGCAACGCACGTACCGAATTGCGATACATACGCATCGGACATATGCGAGCGAGCGTAGCCCGCTTCAAAATGCTCTAAGAGTGTTCGTCAGGGTTCATGCTCGTAGCCACACCGTCGCATTCAATTATCTTCCAAATACGAAATGTCCACCACTTTTGCTCATACGGGAAGGATCTTGGGTGGGCGAACATTCAGACTTCTTACAATTCTTCCTGCACTCGATGAAGATGAGCCATTACATTGCGAATGCCATTCCTTCGACATTGACGAGGCTCCTCCGTACGAAGCGTTGTCTTACGTATGGGGCGATTCAACACCATCTGCCAACATATGGTGCAATCGTCAGTGTATAGAGGTTGCCTCATCGCTTTCGCAAGCACTGAAGAGGCTACGTTGTCGAGAAGCCAAGCGCATCATTTGGGCGGACGCAATATGTATCAACCAAGCAGATGAGGGCGAGAAAAGTCACCAAGTCCCGATGATGGGTACCATTTATTCATTGGCAAGAAGGGTCGTTGTCTGGTTAGGCCAGGGAGATGCGCAACAGATACGACTAGCCTTCGAGGCCAGTAAAACAATTGCCGACGCTTGTTATGATTACGATGAGAGACACGGCAACATTTCAGATAGTCTCGCAGACCATGACGAAGTCGATCTCCCGGAAATCGCGGCCTCTACCACCGTACTAAGTAGCCTCAAGGAACTTTACAATCGACCTTGGTTCTATAGGATATGGTGCATCCAAGAAATTTGCTTAGCTGCAGACGCGATAGTCATCTGGGGAGACGAAGAGATATCTTGGTCAGCTCTAGCTATAAGTGCCGCATGGATCCTTGATAGGGATGATCGTAACGGAAATCAGTTAGCACTTTATGAGCTAGACAGCGCACATGCGGTCAAGATGAGCGAAGAAGGCACGTATTCACTACTAGAAGCGCTGCAGGTCTTTTGCAATTATGAGTCTTCTGACCCATGCGATAAAGTCTACGGCCTACTAAACATCGTCTCACCAAGGTCAGAGGTAGAAGCTTTAGGCGTCGACTATACAAAAGACTGGGATGAGATATATGCCGACACGGTGTTGGTTTACATTCAACTTTACGCAAGACTGACTGCGTTTGGCTACATTGAGCACCATATCAACTATGATGGGCCTAGTCCTGAGAAGTGGAGATTCATTGATCACGATCTCATCTATGATGGGCCTGGTCTTGAGGATTTTGACGTCATTGAATACAGATCATGGGTCCCGCGGTGGGATCGTCAGCATTCTCGTACGCCAATAGGATTACCCGAATATTTATGTCCCTGGAGTGCATGTGGAGAACACAAAAGGACTATTACTGTCGGCAGCTTGTCAGCTCTGGGAAATCTCTGTCTCAAAGGTGTGACGTACAGCAGGGTGTCTGAGGTTGAAGAGATCATGGACTATCACAATCTGTCAGACCCTAAGTATATCGGCGGCCCAAAGCCTACCGAGGATGCCAGAGAAGGCATACCTGATACCGAAGATGTCCAAGCTATCGACAATCCACCCAAAAGACATCCATTCATCAAATCTTACGAACGTACGGTAGCCAAATCGTCCCCAGAGAGATTCGCTCGTACGTTGACAGCAGGTAGCTGGGTGAGTGGTCTCGACAAATACCTACAGCTTTCAGATGAAAAGGTGAGACACAGCAAGGCTTGCTCACGTTTGCTGCGCCGACTGATCAATCTTCAAGAGTCTGGTGATCAGGGCGAGTACGCTCACGATGGCGATTCAGCTTTGTTCGAAAGAAGGGCCTATCATGTTTGTGATCACCGACGCCTGTTCTGGACGGAGAAGGGTTCGTATGGCCTCGGCCCACAATGCATGGGAGTCGGTGATATCGTGGTGGTGTTGTACGGTGGTAACACACCCTATGTGCTGCGACCGAGAGGAAGCAAATATGTATTCATGGGTCAGGCTTATGTCGACGAAATCATGAACGGAGAAATTTTCCAGGGTCCAGCAGTGGGAATACCAGAGGAACAAACCTTTTGTCTTATTTGAGCAATGGGATAGTCAATGATCACGACTATGGAAGAGTATCTTGGTTCTGTAGGAGACACAACTTGGAAGCTCTTGTGTTGACGATACTTCTCTTTTTTTGAGAGGACCTGATTGGACGGGTACATATAGATTTCGGAAGTTGTGAGTCGCTCGTTGCGATGTGTCATCAAGTGTACCATGGGATGGAGGTGACGCAACCAGGACACAACGTTCAAGTGATAGCAATCACAGTCCTCAGGGCGCTTTGATGTGATCAACATCCCCATCACTGCCCAACCCCGTCGTCTCCTCATCAGAACTCATCCGTTCCTCACTTTCAGAAGCCTGACCGTCACCCCTCTTAACCAACTCTCTCGCATACAGCAACCGAATCGTAAGCGCAGTCGCAATCAGCGCCGCACTCAAAAACGCCACCGTAATAAACCCCTTCCGATACTGCGGTGCCTCAACCTGCCTCCAAACAAGAAGCGGCAGCCAAGCCTGTATCACATAAGCCATCTCATTCATAGCCGCGACAACAATGGCCCGCTCTTCGTTATCGTGCGTGCATATCTCGTGTGCCCATGCGAAGCACAAGCCAGAGAGACCGCCACCGAAACCGGAGAGGATATAGCAAGCCCACTTCCATTTGATGGGTATATCCCAGATTGCGAGGCTGGTGGAGCAGATGATGTTCATGCAGCCGCCGAAGACGATGGGTTGCCATCTGGAGCCTTTGAGGATACTGTCGCTCGTCCAGGCGTACAGTAGTGTTGTGACGACTTGTACAGCGTTGGTCGTCGTCGGGTACTGTCAATAGCGTCAGCATTGGTCCTCGTTGCAACGGCTTAGCGGAACTTACGGTGTTGATCTCGCTGACAGTATATTTTGGGTCTTTGCTTGCCTTGAGAAACTGCTGAAATATCGGCTGCGATCCCATACTAGCATTGTTGAAGAATACATAAAGCGGAACAAGAGCCCAGACATGCCACGATGTAAAGATCTTGCGAACTTTGGCCCTAGTATACGGCTTCCGCTTCTGCCGGCCTTCGAGTCGCATGCGCTCCTGCGCAAATGCAACCTCCTCTTTGGTCAGGTAGAAAGGCTTCGAGATCTCTGGTAGATCGGGCAGACAGAAGAAGCCAAGGACCGCGATGGGGAGAGAGATTATCCCGTCGACGATGAAGAGCCATTGCCAGCCTCTAAAGCCGCCTTTGCCGTCGAGCTTGTACACACCGGCCATCAGGTAGCCGGAGAACATGGTCGCGATGGCACCGCTTGTGTGGAAGATACAAGATCGCTTAGCGAGCTCTTCCTTTCGATACCACGATCCGATGATGTATTGCATGCCTGGGTAGAAAGTGCTCTCGGCAAGGCCGATAAGGAAGCGTAGAGCGTAGATTGTTTCGGCGTTGTTGGCACGGCAAAGGCAGAACGTCAAGACAGCCCAAGTAAGCTACCGGTGTCAGTACTCATCTCCCAACGGCGCGGTCACCTCATACAAGGGAAAAACCGAACACCCGGGAGCCTACGTTGCCGTTAGGCCACCAACTTCGCAAGCTTTTATCTTGATGTAGGCTCTTAGGTGTTCGACTTTTCCCTTGAATGGGGTGCGGTGGTGCGGAATCATACCTCCATTGCCGGTATCCAGATCGACGGTCGAATGCGAGTCAAGATGATGTTGCTGGGTATCTCGCCGATGACATAGCCTACAGTCCAGCAAGTTTGCATGTAGTTGAGCTGGTTGCCGTAAAGCCCAAGATCTTCCTTCCTACTCCGAGGTCAGTCAATGCTTGCTAAAGGAAGACCGATACATACATGCCAGAGACAAAAGCGCTGTTGATGTTCATCTGATCAAGGTACTTGATAAAGTACCCCAACGACGCGAAGGTGAGTAGAGCGGCATCGAGCTTGAACATGAACCATCGCTCTTCTTTCGGCTTGTCCAGGGTATCCCAGAGGTAGTAGTACCACTTGTGCGGCTTCGCTTTAAGCTCTTCATTGGTTTGGATGACATTCGTAGCTGCGACTGCTTCCGTGGAGATATCTTGAGGTCGACCCATCTTCGCGAGGCTTCAGTGTGAAGCGTGTGTCTGGTGTCTGAAGCTGTACTGGCACAAGCCTCAGCTTTATTGAACAAGCAGCACAAGGCCTTCTTTGCCATAGCTAAGCATCGTTTACGAGGTCACCCGTTCAGCATGGCGCTCGGCGCGTCAGTGGCGAGTCGATAATGCGCGGTAGGATTCGTAGTGCGATTCGACATACTGGGGCTGGTATGGCGTTATGACAGGGTTCGCGTGGGGTTCGTGCGACATGTAGACAATCTAGATCTGATAAGCACGAATGTGAATTGCGTTTCCGGTGTTTGTAGGCTCAAGATCGTCGTGATGCATGGGAGTGGTGTGGCGTCATGTGTCGTGATCAGGCATGCAGATTGCGTGCCTGAGTCGCGCAATAACCATGCCGAAAAACGCGGAGAATCTCAACACATTTCATTTGATCATGTGACTGTAGAAAGCTCCCGAGGTCGTCTGCGCTGCTGGCTGTCTGCGCGGATTGATCTTTGCGATTGAGACATGTTGTATTCATCCGGTACATCATATACATGTCGCTTCAAACCGCTTCTCAGTTCCAGGGTTAGCAAAGAGCGCTTTCATCCTCTCAAGCTGCTCTGCCCTTGCGCTATACCACTTCTCGGTATGACCACGCAACTTATCCTTGCCGGCTTCTTCTAGATCAGCATTGACCCAGGCCATAAGCTCGTCGACATAGCTCGCTTCTTGATCCCGCAGACTATGGAAAGCCTTGCCATAGCCTTTACTCTTCACACGTGCGTCGTATTCCGCCCGCATAGCATCTTTGCTAGGAAGCTTGGCCTGGCCTGAGAGCACCTTTGCAACGACCATGGCTTGAAACTCGAACAGAGTGAAAGTGGCCGTGAAGAAAGGCACGCCAACAAGAGCGAGGGTCGGATCATTGATGTAGAAGATGTCTTTGTGTAGATTGTGGAACTGTGTACCATCCGTCACCAACACCGCGTCGTCGGCATGCTCGACTGGCGTCTCATCCGAGGTGAGCTGTGGTAGGAAAGGCAGGGTGAGATAGTAGCCAGTGCAAAGTATTACATGGTGGATATCGCAGATCTTTGCGCCCGACTTCAATGTGACGGTTGCCGGAATCGCTTCGTCGGGGTTCAGTGACGCTGATGCATATGCATTCGCGCGTGGTTCGTCGTACGATGCCACCTCTTCTATGCGAAATGCATTGTTGGGAAGCATGCTAGGAGGTAGATCAAATTTGCCATTCCTTTGGCTCTGTAAGATCTTGTTTGCGTACGGGCTCAGTTCGCGGGCAATGTCCGTTGCGGATACACTTGCACCGACAAGTAGATAGTTCTGGAGTGGTATCAGATCACAACGACGTCGTTTCGCTCAGCCTGGCGCGCATGTACCTTATCTTGGGCATTCTCGGGCCTTCGGTAGCTTTTTGAATGCTGCACTCTACCAGGAAATCGTCGCTTCCACTCCGCCAGTCCAGGCGTGTCGGGAACTCTTGGTGTGTGGTAATGACCGGACGCAATCACTACGGCGTCAAAGTCCTAGCCCAAGATTAGCAAACTCCAGGCGCAGCCAACATCAGAATAATACTGACATGAACAGATACACGTCTCTCGAGCGCACCTTCCTGATCAGTCTGCAGAGTCACAGTCTCGACCGTCCACGATTTGCCGTTCTTCGTGACGCGTCTCACATCTGTGTCGTACTGTGTCAACCCATGCACCCCCGTGGAGGCAGCAGTAGCTTGTATATAGTCGCACAGGACTTGATGCGTTACATAATCCTCAGTCCCAGGCGGAAACGGATTCAAGGTGGTTTCCAGCAAGCGCGTGCTCACGTTGTTCTTGAGGCCCACATAACATGGACTGTATGAGGCCAGTCAGTCCAAAGTAGCGCTTCAAGACTATGTCTGTGGAAATTACCCAGGTGGCGCATGAAGCAGTCTCTCTGTCTCCTCCGTCTCTTCTGTCGCATGAGCACTATCAGCTCTGCAAACTTCGGTTCTCGGATACGGCGGTTCCAGAGGCTGTCGCTCATCGTAGAGCCTTTCATGCCGTCAGTCAAGTTTGGGGGGCATAAATGATGGGTTGATTACCATATGCCTCCTGCGGCACTCGATCGCTCAAAAACGGTGACTTCGATACCCTCTCTTTGAAGATGAGCTGCAGCTACCACGCCACTGATGCCTGCACCGATTACAGCGACACTTTTGCAGCGGAACGACATGTTCAGAATACTGCTTGTATGCTGGAGGAAGTTTTTCGCAGCTTCGCGCGTGCACATGGAACACGAGTTTTCAGCCGACAGCAACACACGCAAGCCTCCCAACACTCAATCATGAATGCCATCTACCCACTGTCAGCATTCCTTGCTTGTGCCTCGGCTATAGGGCTTGTCAGCACTGTAAGCATCTCAACTGGGGTGTAGCTAGAAACAAAGCGTGATGGTGGATACGGATGGCATCATGAGCGGCCATAAACGCGTGGGATGCAAGCAACCAACACCGACGCACCTATTTGCGACTAAGGTGTGATCTCAGTTCGCGATACATTTGAAATGAAGCGAAGTTTGTCCGAGCGATAACAGGAGAAGCGTTGAATGGGTATTCGTCATCTGCAAGATTATGATGTGATCGCAACCCCGCAACATGTGTCGCAAACAACACGCGATACAGCCACATCAGTCGACCACGCATGGGAGTCGGATTTGTGAGCGAACGTTTTGAGAAGTGGGGTAATAGAGTTCCGGGTATAAAATTGGTCGGACCGCGAGTGATGAGGTCTGCGCAACTGCATCACAAACGACTTTGACAATGGCTCCAATCGCAATCCCCGTTCACGAACACATTCAGGAGAAGGATACTGTCCAGCCGCGGAAAGACTCGCTGGGATTGCCAGAGCCAGCCAGGAAGAGACTCGAGAAGGCGGGAATCGATCTGTCGGCCGGCTATCCGTACAGACCAGCAAAACCACTCTACCTTGACGATGTGTACAAAATCAGGGACTATGATCGTGAGCACATCGATCCGGGTGCCCGAGCCGATCCAGAGAAGCAAGCGCTGTTTAGTGCTGCGAAGGAAGTCATCCATTTGACCTCACACATCGGAACTGAGATCGTTGGACTTCAGCTGAAGGACCTTACCGACCAACAAAAGGATGAGCTTGGTCTTCTGATCGCTGAAAGAAGCGTGGTGTTTTTCCGTGATCAGGATCTCTCGCCTCAAGAGCAGAAGAAGCTGGGCGAGTATTATGGCGAAATTGAAGTCCACGTGAGTAATTTTTCCCCGAAGACACTTCACGCGCTAAGATCGAGTGAAGCCGCAAGTTCCATTCGTACCCGGTGTGCCAGGGGTGACTGTTCTGTGGCCCGCTCTGCAGGCGACGGAAGTGCCAGCCAGCTTCCGGAAGACGGGTGGTGCATCTAGATGGCACACTGATCTGGTACACGAACGCCAACCTGCTGGGTAAGTGGTAGTATCTTGGAAGGATGTTCATTTCTGACTCTTTTAGCGTAACCCATCTCCACAACGATACCATCCCCAAGATCGGAGGTGACACCCTCTGGGCTTCAGGCTACGCTGCGTACGAGAAACTTTCTCCTGCTTTCCGAAAGATCATCGATGGCAGAGAAGCAGTGTACCGCAGTGCGCACCCGTACCTCGATCGTGACGATACTAGCGCTGGCCCTAAGCACATCGAACGCGTTCATCCGATCGTTCGTGTCCACCCGGCAACCGGATGGAAAGCTCTGTGGGTCAACCGCGCCTTCACAGATCGCATTGTCGGATTAGACAAAGCTGAAAGCGACGTCATTCTCAACTACCTCTTCGATGTGTACGAAAACAACGTCGATATCCAGGTCCGGTTCCGCTGGACGCCAGGAACTTCGGCATTGTGGGATAACAGAATTACAATCCACAACGCGAGTTGGGATTATGGAGGAATTGAGCCGAGGCACGGAACAAGGGTTACGTCGTTGGCGGAGAAGCCGTACTTTAAGGCCGATGCACCGACTCGCAGACAAGCATTGGGCCTCGCAGGACCTGAGGATGTTTAGGGAGCAGGAGAGACGCGTTCCAGCGCGAAGGCGCGAGCTGGATGGGCTGGCTACTGCGCTATTCCTATCGTGAACAAGTGTCATATAGGGCTTGGCATGGCATCATCGACCCCTTGATGCTCTTCGTGCATGCGGCCAACGCGTATCCATAGGCAAATACCATCATTGTTCGATGACCTTTACTTATCGTTTCATCAATGTCAGCTACTCATTGTTTCAGCAACTTCCCAGCATTCTGCCACGCAAACATGTCCATCTCGGCGTCACTCATGACCTGCGCCCGCGCCAACTTCTTCACAAACGCCCACCCGTCCGTATCGCTGCTGAAAGGATAATCGACAGAATACATAATCCTCTCGACTGGGTTCGCCTGCCTCAGCTGCTCAAATTGCCTCACAGTAAAGAACGCACTTGTCGTGCTCCAGCCATTCGTCTTCCACGTCCAATCCAACTTCGCATCGTTGCGTAGTCCCGTCGAATCGATTCGATCAATGAACATGGGCAGCCCTTCGCCGTTGTGTCCAATTATGAGCTTCAGCTTGGGGAAGCGATCGAATAACCCCGCGCCATAGAGACGCAATACGTGCATTCCTACATCGATACGCCAACCCCACGACGTTACCCCGAGCTTTCCCGCTACGGCGGCTAGGTAGTTGCCTACGACAATTTGGATACGATATCTACGGTCGGAGCAGCAGGTTGCTGTCACAGTGGTACATGGAGCTTCTGCGCCATGGCGAAGACTAGGTCGAAGCGTGCGGCGTCGTGGTACGTCTCGTCTTTGAGATGGGTTCACATCATCGCGCCTTTGGACCAAGGGTTGTAATGCTGCGGTTTAACCCCGCTGCAGCTTCTTCCTGTAGGGACATGGGCAGTACCGCAAATCCAGCGAATCGTTGAGGATACCTTAGCTACTCATACCGCACCAAGACCTGAATCTTTGCCACGGCGATAGTGTCTGCTGTCCCATAGTCATCACCAAGACTGCGCCTATGATCAGCAGAACAGGGCATATCACAGCAAAGAACACCCAGAACTTGCTCTCTCCTGGCAGGAAATCACCCCCCATAGACATGATACCCGCGACCACGGACAAAGGCACAAAAAGGGTCCCCAATACTGTGAGCCAACGCACAGAGTTGGCTTGCGCATTACTCGCCTGTGCCTCTCTTAGCGCGATGATCTGGGTGTATGAATCGGTCAAATGCTGGAACATCTCCTGCAAATCGATACAACTGGTACGCAAGAGCCGCCATATCTGCGCCTCTCGTTTGCCAACAAAACCATAACTTTGCGCATCTTCGACGTCGATCCCCAGAGCGCGCATGTTGGTCTCGACTTCGAAACGGTAGAGATACAGGTCCGTTGTGAATTTTGCCATCGTCTCGAAGAGCCACTCTTTCCAATCCGCCCCCCAGCGCACTGTGTGCGGCGCTGAAGTACGCGTATTTCCAGAATAATGCGACGAAGAGACTGAGAAGAGCGCCGCTCGTGTATGGCCATAGCTTCTGCGAATGTGATTCAATTCGGCGGTCCATTTGCTGATCACAAAACCACGCAGAAAGGGCGTTACAGATAGTGGGTTCCCTCCTGGACCGGTATTGGCCACCGAGAAATGAATCAATATGTCATCGTGCAGGACGTATTTTGTGAAGGCTGCACTAGGGTGCCATTGCAGCGGATGAGGGGCCAATTCAGATTTCTCGTGATCTTCAAGTTCTGGATATCGAATTATACGACTGAGATTCGGATATGGACTGCCTTTGATAACAGCGAGATGGGCTGGGTCTTTGATGCATGGGTCAACAAGCGTTAGGCCTGCAGGTGTACCATGAGTGTCTGGACTGGATTTAGCAAGGTAGAAATTCTGACTGACCTTCCCAGCCGCCTCCTGGCAACATATGGTACCAGTATGTGACTTGGCTCTCCAACTCAGAAATCTCGCCTCTTGCGTCCCACTGATCATATTTAGTCGGTGTTTCCAGGTTCCTCGAAACGACGAATCGTGGATTTGCGCTCTGGTCCCTCAGTCTCGCGTTCGGCTTGAGCCACGTCGGACATTTGGACGGGTCAGAGTTTTGTTTGGCAGATACATGCGGCATGAGTACTGGATACCGAAGCGTAAAACTTCTTCTTTTACCAGGCGTGTGGAGTTCTTCATCATCACTTTCGTAGTCGAGGCCGTCGGAGGTGCTGGTTTGGATTATCGAAGGGAGACTATTAATGTTGTCCGATATCGTGCTATTGCCCCCGGTTGTATAATGGCGCGCGAAGACTGTAGGATGAATACGTAGCCTTGATCCTAACAGGCAGATGTATCGCACAGGCATATCTTCCAATACGAACAAACGTCTGAATGGTGAGTCGCTTCTTGCCGACGCTTCATCAATGTAGTTCTTGAATTCTTCGAACGCCGCAAAGGTCCTCGAGCGTAGACCATCATTTAGGAATTCGATAATCGATATACGTGATGAGACTTCTTCGACAATAGTCTGAGATACCATAGCCTGATATAATCCACTGTATTCTGCTGCTTTTCCTTGAAGAGCACGAGTGGCGTATTCGCGTATCAAGCATAGGTATGCGAAAGATCGATCATCCATAGAGTTGATATAAGCATCGAAGTCGACCCTTGTTTTCGATAAGTCATCTGTAAACGCTGGTTGTCGTTCTTGGCTGCCGTCCCAAGGCACGGTAGAAGTAGCATCAGGTGGGAACTGCCGATGTCGCCAGGTCGACTTCGGTGCATAACCTCTGTGCTGCATCTGTGCTGTCTGACTCGACTAGTTGTACCCTGCAAAAGGTCGCTTCGCTTCTGGGTGGTCCAGATAGTATTGATCCGCCAGACTCGCTCCTCCTGGCGCGGTGTGAAGCAAATGCGATGCCGATACCCACTTGATCTGTGTCGTGCTCTTGCGTCCAGACTTGTCTCTTCTTCCAAAAGCCGCGAGGATTCTCTCTACAAGGCCTTTCCTTGAAGGCTGCGTGCTTGTTGCGATCGAATCCACACTGAGAAGATATCCAAACTCTCTTTGTACGGCGCCGTGCTCATTTTTCAACGAAAATCCAGCCCCTACGATCCGCGAGCGTTGAATGAGATCAGCATCTAAACCCCGGTCCGCCGTGAAAATATAAACGTCGTCGACGTTTGGCCCGTCCACAGCTGCGCTACCACCGTTGTAACCACCGCGGCCCATCGCCCGGAGCGATTGTGTGAAATTGATAAGTCTGCGGAGGAAGTTGAGGAGAGATGTGTTCTCTTTCCAGTAAGGCAGAATTGCGCCTCTGGACCAGGACACAGCAACGTGCAGGGCGCTTGGACGTCGAGAGACGTCGAGAGCCAATGGATCACATCTCGGCTGCCTGATGATCTCATAATCTCACCTCGGCAAGCATGATTTTCAGCTGGGCAGCACAATTTTCAAGACTCAACATGAAATGCAGGTTCATTCATAGCTATGCAGAGAGAGGCCCAGATACTTCTATTTATAATGCCAACAAGCTGTGCTGAACCTGCGATATGGAGAAAGGCCTATTTTGGTAATATTCTCACCTAGGTTGTTTTGTCCTCTGGCTGAATGACAGCCTTGCGGTACGGTAAGCACAGCCTGAACTAATAAGTAAGTGTGTGTGACCCATCGATGTCGCACATGTACGCACTTTGTCAATGTAACACTAGCACGGCATTTCGATATTGTGCTACTTAGTATGGGCCCCTAACTCCCGCGTACTTGACACAGTCGCGATGCATAGTGAGCGGCATCGACAAAGCCGCGGACGACATTTTGTACGAAAGGGAGCAATCTTCGAATCAAAGATTGTTCGTCAAGCTGCCACACGATAGTGTAGTAGAGTTAGGTGTCTGTCCTTGTACTATCCGGCCTCCGTTCACTTCCAGTCACTACAATGCCATTGTGGAGTTACTTGCAGCTGCCACAGTGGCCCCATCGCCCGAACTCGTCCCCACGAACACCACCAGAACAGCAGCATACGTCGCTGTTGAGACAAGCGCTTCGATGTTGGAAGTTCTGACTCCAAATGACAGTGCGAGGGCGAACAGGAAGACCGATAACGAGACCGTGATGAGGCTTTTCTTTTGCGATGTTTCGAAAGCCATGACCAGCATCGGGACGATGAGGAACAGTCCACCCGTCATCGCTTGCAAGAACCGGGCGATGTTATCGACAGTTGACGACATGCCTTCGGGTGGCTTGCCATCATCGTACTCTATATTTTCGGTCAATCGCTCGTTTCTGGAATACGTAAAGTAGACAGGCAGTTTTATCCTCAGGAAATTTCGGACAAAATCCATCGGGGGATTCTTTTCGTCGAAGTAGGCGTAGCGGGACCAAAATAGGTCGCCACTGCCAAATTTGGGTTGCAACCATGCTTGGATCCGAAGCCTCCTCGCGAACATCTCTTCCTTCGCCACTTTCTTTCTGCTTCGAAGAAATTGATAGTCTCGGATCGTACTGCCTAGTGTTCTGTCAGCTGCAGAGCTCTTGAGTACTCCGATCTTTCTGCTGGCTCTTACTATAGTCTTTTAGGGTATTTTGGAGATCTGCGAGGTCGTCTGCCGAGACATCCTGCGCGTTTTCAAGCTTCTGCTTGATTTCAAAGAGCCTCAGCTGCTGCGCAACAATATTGGTCCGCTGAAGCGACTCGAAACGTAGGAAGTGGAATTCCTCCTCTTCTTCTAGCGAACGCGCAGCGTATCCCAATAAATCGGTATTGTTACCTGGGTTCGCCATGAGCGCATAACAGGATGGAAGCTGACTGCTAGGTTTTCCAACGGCAGCCTGGTTTTGGGGCGTCGCGTTCAGGAGATTTTCCTTTTCATGCACCTCAGCCGCAGCGTGCATCTCAGCCGCAGCGTGCATCTCAGCCGCAGCGTTATCTCAGCCTTGACCCCCGCTCTAACACCCCTTGTTTATCAATTATCAATCTCTCAATCTTGCAAGGCCACTGTTAACCACGAGGGTTATGGACGCCCCTCAAGTAACGTCTGCACCTTCTCGCGAATGCCTGCGCACGCTTCCCGTGGTATCTCAGCGAATACATGAGCGGTCGTCTATCGTCGCACAGAATCCCATCCCTCATCCACCACTAGAACGAGAGATAGACAGTGCTCTTGAATCCAACATCCGCACTGTCCGATTTGCATTCGATACCAAACAGCTTCACTAAGACGGCATAAGATTCGAGAAGAGCTCAAAGAATTACAGCGTCGCCTTGAGGCGGCTGGATGCGAGATTATCGGATCTGTTCGAGACACTACTGAAAGTGGGTGGTCGGATGGTCTTGGAAGATTGGGAAGGTGAGTGAAACCGGGTTGCGGGTCTAAGTAAGCGCATGCAGCTGACAAGACTGTAGAGCTTGATTCCAAACTTGTCATCATATATGAAGACATGAAGATAGCCTTTAAAAAGGCAGAGCAGGGCATCAAGTCGAAGACAAAGATCGCGAAGATCGACGCAAGCACTACTGAAGTGCAACAATCAATCACGAAAGTCGAGCGGATTATCAAAAAGATTCCGAAGGGGTCTCCGCCTGAAGCCAGGCGTAGATGAATAGGAGAGTTCTTGGATAGCAGTGTCATATAACAGCGCGTGTGCATTGATAGACCACTTGCTCACTCCCTACGAAAGCTCTTAACTCGTCACCGCGATGCATCCTGTAACTCCACCTATCGCGCATGCGCTGTGCCGCACCTCGAGAGTCGATAACAAGCACTTGCAAAAGTTTCTTTTCGCTTCCAAGTCCGGGTTGTCGCCTGCAAGAACCATAGTATCGAGATCAGCGAGTAGCTGCTTGTAGATGAGCATTTCGGCAGCCGATGGAGCCGTCTCAACTGCATTATGGATATAATGTGCAAGCATGGTGACGAGAGCTGCGATCAGATAGGGATATACCATCCTGCGAAGAGATTAGTATACGTTAGAACGAGATAACGAAGCCACTGACCAGTACAAAGCAACATTACCCCGCGGTGCTACCGGCAGTAGGCTCAACAACCTTCGCGCCTCCGGATATGCTTTGTGTTGCTTCATCTTCGACATCCTGATCAAACCGTCTAGCTCGAAGGGGTTGATCTCCGAACTCATGTCCATCGCCGTGACCGCATGTAGTCGATATACAGTCCCGAAATAGTAAGCCTCCAGTGCAACACAATGACAGATATCTGCTCGGTATAGTATTTGTTCCAACTGGCTAGCAGAGAGATGAAAGATGTGATGCTGCTCGTGAAAGGCCTGTAAGCGTGCGAGCACGATGGCTGTGGCGGCGCTTAGGTCCAACGGAGTTGTGTTACTTGTCTTGCGAGAGAGTACCTGGTCGATGGCTTCGGTCTGAAGTAAGGCTATCCTTGTGAAGAGCCAGAAGATATGCGCTCGCCAGGTACCCTCGGTCGCAGTGAGCGCACCAAGCTCGTCGGCCACAAAGTCGGAGCAGTTGGCTACGTCTTGAAGCTGGTGTGTTGGTTGCGTGTTGCTCAAGATGCTTAGACTGATATCGTTGGTAAAGCAGATCCAGAAAACACGACGCTGATGTGCGCCGTCACTCAGCTCCTGCGCCGTTGCATTGCTTTTCTTGCCTTCGTTGGCTAGACTTCTGATGACACGGAGGGCGGTGGAGACGAATTGACCCGCTGGCTTCTTATTACTGCATGGGCTGGCGACGATGAGTAACGCGATACCGACAAGGCATTGTACCTGTCCTAGGGATGGCGGCGCTGTGAGAAGAGTGTCAAGTGTGGAGTAAGCGCGGGCAAGGTAGTACTGAGCCATGTCCATGTTATGGCTGTCACCAGTCGAACTCATGCCACGCATATGATGTGCCATACCAAATACGATGTACGCACTCGTCCAAGCGATTGCCGAATCATCAGGCAGCCCCGCATAGCATGTCCGAAGGTGGTCGGCAATGACATGTGGTTGGTAGAGAGGATAGGCGGTATTTAGGTCAGTCAGGAACTCCGCAAGCAGTGTCGTTCCGAGCTCCGGGGGTGGGAGATACCAGTCACTCGTTGGACTGGTTACTATTGGCAGCGGTGATAGATTGACATCCTCCGTCGGCCCCGTCCCAAATTGTGCAGCTTGCAGGAAAGCAACATCCTCTTGGAAGTTGGCGGAGGAATAGATGCCATCTAACGGAGCCTGCAACGAGGGGTCTAACGTCGAAGAGTCGTGACTAGAACCGCCGGTAGACAACGTGCCCAGGTCGTCTGCAAACAGGCCATCATTGTCTGGTAGGAAACTTTCCATGTCAAAAGGGTCGAAGTCTGGAAGCAGGGGATGTGGGCCAGCCTCCACCTCATGACGTAAAGAGTCTACCCATGTTGAGATTGGGGGTGAATGTTCTGATGTTTGCATGACCGGTTGTTGGCGCACGTTTGGTTGTGCCACATTCCGCTCGTGTAGCAGCGACTCTAGCCTCTTGATCCGATCCTCATACTCAGATATGCGGTTGCTGAATCATTGTCAATGACATTCCCATCCGTGTAATGCTGCCAGATCATACCCTCTTTGTGGTTTCGACCTTTGTTTGCGCATGTACGTGGTCATGCACGTTTCTTTCAGATTGGTGCACGGCGAGCAGCCCTGAGGACCGTGGTTCCACACGCATCTTCGCTTCCGTTTGCGACACAGATCACAAGCCTAGAAGACGCGTTAGTCTGCTGGTAGACGCGTGTTGAGCACTCGAGATGCGATGTTCGATGCTCTATAGCTGTGGGTGACTGTCGTGGCAGAGTCGCGTCTCGAGCGCATGCAAGGACCCGCAGGCGGCCTAAGCCGGATAAATGCTAGCAAACCTACTTACTCGCACCGTGGACGCAGACCCGCGTTTCTCGACGCCACTACTCGACATCGTGAGTTGTCTGATGGAATAATGAGACCAAGCTATGCTGACATGCTGTTCGGTCTGGTGTCTCATGTCGCTAGCAGAACGGCCGATCCCCGCCGGCCAGTTCGCTGACAAATCTAAACTAGTCATCACTGCCATACAAAGGTTCGTTTTCTCAAACGAACACTACCACACGCCGGTAAAAGCTATGCTTGGACATCGCAATCAACGATACAATACCTTCATTGACTAATGATAGATTCCCGCTTTAGTACCTCAATCATGAATGTGTTTGCACAAAGCCACAGGCCAAACGCGCCTTCCGTGTTTCGCTAGTACGCGAGACCGAGACCGAGAACGACCCATTACATTGGTGCAGCAACCAGCTTGCGCACATCGTCTTTCGAGTGCTTCTTCACAGTACCATAACTCCACGTTCCAATCCTGAGTCTGGCGGTCTTCTACTCACTCAGGCACCCCCCTTCGTGCGTCAACAAGCGAAGAGATGAAGGTCATTGGGGGTGCGGAGAACTTCTGGCTATACTCCGAGAAGGAGGGCTACGACATAACGCATCCTGCCGCGCCCGATGGCCCCAAGGTCTACCCTCGCATGACACTACGCACACAGGACTCACGTGCCATCATTGATCCCACCAAGACTGCGCTAGTAGTCATCGATATGCAAAACTACTTCCTGTCCCCAGCATTTGGTCGGCCGTCGAACAGCCTGGGTCTGCAAGTTGTAGAAAAGCTCACCGAGCAAGCGATACCGGCTTGCAGGAAGGCCGGAATCCAAATTCTTTGGCTCGGTTGGGGTCTCACAGATGATGATATCGAGACCATGCCCCCTGCGATTCTCCGTGGTTTCTCAATGGACACAAATTTCGAGGGCGATCGTGAGGTACCTGGTCTTGGGACGAACATCGGGCCCATAATGCTAGATGACGGATCTACGGTCGAAGGCGGCGCCGCTCTCATGCGCGATCAATGGAATTCCAAACTCTACAGTACTTTGGAGAGTTTGGCCCATCCGGATGATCTAAGAGTTTGGAAGAATCGACTGTCGGGGTTCTGGGGAGGGACCAATGTCGAGAGTGTGTTGAAGGCTCGCGGTATCAAGACGTTGATCTTTGCAGGCTGCAATACAGACCAATGTGTTGCTGCCAGTTTGACAGATGCGGTTTCGAGAAATTGGGACTGCCTGTTGTTGAGCGACGGAACTGCTACAACCAGCCCGAAATTTGCCCAGGAGATGGTTGAGTTCAACATGGGCGGATGGGGATTCTTACTGAGCTGCAAAGATCTCGTTGCAGGTGTGGAGACATTGAAGACAGGCCCGAGTGATGGGGCTTGAATGCTTGATGTGCGAAGATCGAGTGCATTTAGTGCCAGGAGATAATGCGTCTAGTAGCCACCAGAGAAGATAAGGATTGATGGAGTTTGGACGTCCTTTGCTGCTCCATCATAACTCAGGATTGTAGACTGGTGACCTGTACGACCCGGAGGTTTGACGATGTCGAATGAAGCCCATCCAAGATTCTGGACACGAATTCGCCATACAGGTGGGACTGGCAGACTGTAGGTGATATAATGGTTATTGTCTTCATCTTCGGCAGTCTTCTTAACGTCGAGATGAGCTTGCTGATCTCCGTTTCGTACAATTCCCAAGTGAGTAGCTGAGGCCGTAATGACGATGACGGTGTGAATGCGTGTGGGCATAGTACAGGTCGAAGGTTTATATCTCGAATCGCGACTGATACATCGGTGACATGCAAGAGGAGATCGTCAGGCGTTGCGTCAACCCAAGCATATAGCGAGAGTTGATTCGAGAAGTTCATAGGTCTTTGGTAAAGGAACTTGCGTGCTTCCCGCTCGATTTGACGACAGGTCTGAAGTATCTCTGGGCCTTGTTCGGGCGATGAGAGGATGTTGCGGTAGATCTGCTCCCGCAATTCGGCTGGTAGACTCATCAATCGGTTGTGTTCTGGTGAAGCAGCTGCCGTGGATAGTGTTGTATCATCGCTGTTCATATATCGTGATGTTTGAGCCATTTTCAATATCCAGCTACCCGTGTGCGATTTGTTGGTATCTGCGATTTCGTTCGAGTACTACTGCGAGTACGAAGGTTATATCGGGCATGCGTAGAAAGGCTCCCAAATAAAGTACCGCTTAGCCAAAATCGATTGCGTGATGAAGCTGGTCGAGAATTCGGTGTGGGAGGAGTTGCAGTGTGAGCTGTGAAATGGTATAAAAGTGCTAGTATTGTTTCGATACTAGACTAGAATCTGACAAGACCGATAAACCAAGGTCTTGATCACTGGACGTACCTTGAAACTTATAGAATGCCGGCATGCAAGTAGCTCGCTATGTAGCGAGGCCTCCATTTGGCGTATCATCGAAGTTGTTGCATAGCCGATACCCCATTTTCACAACACAGAACATCGCGACGAGTGTCCAGATCAGTTCAAATCTGAACGTGAGTGTGTTCGAGTTCAGCAGTATCGGTAACGAACCGAACATGTGGCGTTATGCTTCGACTGAATGCAGCAAAAGTGCCGCTGATCGATGGCTTGCGACCGTTTTCAGAGCTAAATACAAGCTCGATGTGGATGCTACACCACGTGGATCTTGTAGCGTTCGAGGCGTAGAGCATTGACATTCCCAGCATATACCAAGAGTGTGCCGTGCAGATTTGCCATGGATCAAGTCGTCGCCCTACTTAAACATCACCTTTCGGGGTCTTTGCCGAATTCCACTCAGATTTAAATCGTATGATTGGCCATGACTGACTGAGGTGATAGTCTTATCGGATATGGCAGGAGCCCTGCAGTGATCCAAGTCAAGGTTTGGGCACGCTGAAGATTAATAGTCCATTAAAGCTGCAGACCGTTTGCGCAGATCGTACGATATGTGGCACCATGTTCTTCGGATCGGTATTGTCTTGCAGTGTAGCTTGGCCATCACTCGCTTTGTGTTCATGTGCAGATTGAATGCATACTTGCCATGAACGTCTGTCGAACATGCAGTGATGGAGTTGATCGACCATGGTTTCCAAGGGAGCGTTCCAATACAATAGTTGAGGGCCTGTTTGGAAACTCGCACCCGTGATTTTGGTGAATGCAGAGGTTCTGACAGAAGCGGACAAGACGCATTTAGAATTTTGTTGATTAGCCAATAGTTCGCGGTCTGTGGTTAGGGACTCTCAGCTGTGTGATATGAAATCTGGGCAGCTTCTTTTCCTTTTGGGAGCCAGTCCGTTGGTGTTTCGATATGCCGGCAGATGGTTCAAACACACGTGGCAGCCTTCGCGATCCGGGGTGCAGCAACGGCTGGTAGAGCGATCTGCGGAAACGTGCGTCAGGTTGGCTCGGTCTGGACAGGGCACTGTGACAGTGAGTTGCGTATTGGTAATTGATGCGTGATGAAGCTTCATTATTGATGGCGTTCCCATCATCCGATATGAGTGGTGCAGGAGGCGTGAAGTCGACCTCGGGAAGGCGCGACTAGCGGATGGCGCTGGCGCTGACGCAAAGATGGCCCCACTTCAGCCCTGAGGGCACCTGCTCGATATCACATCGCTCCATCCCGAACGCCTGTGAGCCAACACAGCAAGACTTGATCGTATGCATGATTATCGCGGCAAATCATGCTACACATTGAGCACCTTGTTCGCCGCTTCGAGTGGCCTCCTCTGCCCCCCTCGCAGTTGCCTCCAGACGTGCGCTTCTCGGCCCAATTCCGCTGAAAAGGGAGGAACATCAGCCACAACACCCATCAGGCTGTCTTGGGCCGGACATGGATCCAGGTCCATAAGGACTTCAGTGCAGTTCAGAACGCCACCACGGTTTGTGTCTTCATATCGACTGAACGTGAACAGGAGTCTACTTATCCGGATGACCCAGAGGCGACCCAGAGACGACGAGGTAACACACCTCCCGCATTTCATACAACTCATACTCAAGGAGATACTCTACAAAAGAGAGAAGTATCGCATCTTTAAGATTGTTTACCTATCCGGGCTATTAGAAATCCCACCCCGAACAGGCTTCCAAGCCACAGTTACTAAAGCAACTCTATCGCAAGGCGCCACGCTCATAGCAAAAGCAAAGGCAAAGGCAAAGCATGCCGGCCGGCGAAAGATCGCGCAACGTAAACTTTCGATTTTCAACGTCGGCTAGAACCGCATCGAAGCCTCTCCATGATGCCTATCGCCAGACTACGCCCCACGCCTGTCACACCACCGAACGACACGCGCTTTCCAAATCGCGATCAACCCATTAAAGTATTAATTACTTCAGAAAGCCCAGAGCCATGCCTACCACGGCCACCACCACGTGGAATCAGCATCCCGCATAAGACCGCACGCGAGATATCCGCCTCACAGTCGTACGAGTGGCTTCGCCCAAGCGACACAACACCTTCACATGCACCCCAACGCCTTGATTGTACTAGAATGCTAGCTGCGGTTGCTGGCACACAAGAACGGAATTTCG